ATTGTGTAATTAATATTCGTCAAATGTCTTCAGTATTTCATCGTCATTTTACTCGTGCACGATAACTTGAGGTAAATGAACGAAAATATATGGGATATTGTTTACATATGACTTGAGGTTTTAACTTTCCCGTTAATTTTCGTGACGTGTCATTTGCATATAGATAGTGAGGGCGAGAAGTGACTTCCTCTGTGACCTGTTTCCTTTACACCTCCAGGAGAGAGAGGTTGGTGTCGACAATAGGATTTCAACGACTGCCTCATGTGGTTAAGGAGTGGGAGAAAGAGCGTGTGTGTGTTTGTGTGTGTGGACGTTAGAGTGACACACAAAAAGAGTCTTTATTTACCAATGACTTGTCGTAATCCGATCGTGTAAAAAAAAAAAATGTCCTAAATTTCCTGCTGATAAATAGTGAATATATTTCCTCACATCATTCAGGACAACGAACGGTGAAGTGACCAAACTTTGCTCGTGTAAATACCACAAAATGTGTTGGATGGATAAACAATACATCATCGTCATCCCGACACAGTCTGTAGGAGATTGCCGGCAGATCCTCCCTCTTATCTCACAACAAGGGCGGTGCTGGAAACTCTTAATTTAATCTTTATTTACATATTAAAAGTAATTAAGTATATAAGTAAGGAAAGTAATTAGTGGGGTATCTTAGAAAAGGTACGGTAAAGTCATCAAGTTGAGCCTTTAAGTACCAGCAAATGTGTTGGGTGAGTAAATAGACCAGCGGAGGTTTGTTTACTGGAGTGGTGGCGTGTGATTGGCTGATACACTTACCAGAGAGACAAGGGACAAAATTATATCGTCTGTGTTTTGACAGGTTAAGCTTGTCTGAGGTTAACTGCGGTAATTTGCACCCGTTAGCGTGACTGTGGTGGTGGTAGTGTACTGAGGGCCATTTACCTGTGGCCTAAGTATAAATTACCCCCTTGAGGGACATTTAACCCTAACCCCCTTCACAACAACACCGGAAATCTGAATAGACCATTTAAGGAGGCCAGTTAAGGTGGCCAGTTAAGGAGGCCAATTAAGGAGGCCATTTAAGCCACCTCTTAGAGTCTATTCCATTCAGCCATTTAAATTAGACATTGAAGTCGTCAGAAGTGTGTGAGGGGAGGGGGAGGGGAGGGGAAGGGGGTGTTGGTGTTTGTCTGTCAGTCCGTCAGCCTCAAGCAAGAAATGTGGTAGTGTTTGAGGGTCAGGTAGTGGTGTGTGTGTGTGTGTGTGTGTGTGTGTGTGAGAGAGAGAGAAAGGTTGATGGGAAGGAGGAAAAGAGAGAGGGAAGGGATAGGTGAAGGTGGCGGGGAGAGGGGGGGAGAGAAGAATGTACAAAAGAGAGAGAGAGACGAACATCAAAATTAAAAACCCGAATGTAAAGTAAAGACAATAAATGAATAAAAAGAAGACGAAGAGAGACGAAGGACGTAAATGGAAAAGGAGGAGAATAAGGGAGGAGAAGAGGAAGGAGGAGATAAAGGGAGGAGATACTGAGCGGGAGAAGACTTAAGTGTAGGTGTCTCAGTGAGGTAGTGAGGTGTTTCCTACCTGTTCCTACCTGAATACTGATGGGGGTGAGTGACTGATGGGGTGAGTGACTGATGAGTGACTGATGGGGAGTGAGTGATTGATGGGGTGAGTGACTGATGGGGTGAGTGACTGATGGGGTGGTGACTGATGGGGTGATGAGTGACTGATGGGGGGAGTGAGTGATTGGGGGTGAGTGACTGATGGGGGTGAGTGACTGATGGGGTGAATGATGATGGGGTGACTGATGGGGTGAAGTGACTGATGGGTGAGTGACTGATGGGGTGGACTGATGGGGTGAGTGACTGATGGGGTGAGTGACTGATGGGGTGGGGTGAGATGGGGTGAGTGACTGATGGGGGTGGAATGACTGTTGGGGGTGGTGACTGGGGTGAGTGACTGTTGGGGGTGAGTGACTGATGGGGTGAGTGACTGATGGGGTTGAGGTGAGGCTGATGGGGTGAGTGACTGAGGTGGGACTGTTGGGGTGAGTGACTGTTGGGGTGTGAATGATGGGGGTGAATGATTGATGGGGTGAGTGACTGATGGGGTGAGTGACTGATGGGGTGAGTGACTGATGGGTGAGTGACTGTGTGACTGATGGGGTGGTGGACTGATGGGGTGAGTGACTGATGGGGGTGAGTGACTGATGGGGTGAGTGACTGATGGGGTGAGTGACTGATGGGGTGAGTGACTGATGGGGGTGAGTGACTGATGGGGTGAGTGACTGATGGGGGTGATTGAATGAGACGTGAGGAAGTGAGTAACACACACACACATGTACTCTCTCTCTCTCTCCTCTCTCTCTCTCTCTCTCTCTCTCTCTCTCTCTCTCTCTCTCTTCACCTGAACCTCGTCACCTCTCCCCGTACACCACAATTAACACGTATTACTTCTACTGTATAATTATGTGAGTCACTTCCCAGGTATTTGTGAGTCAGGTGATTTGCATAAGGACTCAGATGTCAACAAGATGATACTGTAACACGGAAGTATGTATATGTGAAGTTTAATATGGGTTGTGATATAGGCTAAACTCTCTCTCTCTCTCTCTCCGTATCCATATCTTTCCTCCCCTTGTCTATCTTCCTCCTCTCTTCCCTACTTTCTTTGTCTCTCTCTCCCTTTCCCTTCCCTCTTACTTTACCTTGTTATCCTATCTTCCCTCTTTCCTTCACCTACTCCCTCCTTCCCTCCCTCCCTCCCTCAGTCTTCTCTTCTCCTTCGTTCCCTCACTTCTGGGTAATTTTGGGAACTATGAAACAAAAGAAAGTTTCAAGAACAAGTAAAGGTGTTTTAATGTTCTCAGGCCGTACAGATGACCCTGTGGTGCCTCCGGGTGCCAGGAGATGGCCTTAGGCACTCACTCAGTCGTCAAGGTTCCTGTAGAAGTAGGAGGCGATGAACGGTGGTGGTGGTGGTACTGTTACTATAAATTTACTTCCTGTACTACTACTACTACTACTACTACTACTACTACTACTACTACTACTACTACTACTACTACTACTACTACTACTACTACTACTACTACTACTACTACTACTACTACTACTACGAAGAGGGAGGGCGGAGGGGTCTAGTCAGCTGGTGGCAACAAAAACAACAACAACAACACCCCTACCACCCCTACCACCACCACCACCACCACCACCACCACCACCACCACCACCACCACCACCAACAACAACAACAGGTGATTAATACACAAGTGTTAGCGTCTCAGGTAATATTGACCCCAAACCTCCTAAGCTTTCTGACCACTTTAGGTGAAACTAATAAGTAAGAGTTACCTGGATGACGTTCTTCTCGCCAGGTAATGCTTTCATTTTAGGGGGATTAATTACCTGTGTTTGTGTTGCCTTCTGTTTATGTTCCTGTCTGTCTGTCTGTTTGTCTGTCTGTCTGTTTGTCTGTCTGGTTTTTTTTGTCTGGCCATATGTCTTTCTGTTTACCTGTCTGTCTCTCTTTTTAGCTGTCTGCTCTGTCTGTCATTCTCTCTCTCTCTCTCTCTCTCTCTCTCTCTCTCTCTCCCTCAATCACGACCACGAAAGAGGTTACTAAAATGTCTGACTGCCCATGAGAAAGGAGGAAAGGGAGAGGAGGAGGAAGGGAACAAGAGGGAGAGAGAAGGAAGAGAGATAGATCAAAGAGAGAGAGAGAGAGAGAGAGAGAGAGAGAGAGAGAGAGAGAGGGGTCATGATAAGGAAACACACGCCCCTCGTTTCCTCACTTGAAAATATAATGTTTAACAGGTGTGTGTGTGTGTGTGTGTGTGTGTCAGCCTTAACATCTCTTAATGCTGTACAACAGTTTGGGTTTCCTGGCAGAACACAATGGTAGTCTGGCGGGCGTATGATAATGTTTACAACTATCCATAAAATATAACCTTATCTCATTTTTATCTATGCTAACTCATCCTTATCGCCCCATGACACTTTGTAGACCGCTGGTAACTCTCAGACGTTAGATAGTCTTTGTATTTATCAGTTATTAGTATGAGTTGCTTGGCGGACGTATGACGACTATTGCTCCTTTTATGTTGTACGACACTTTAAACGGCCTACAATTATTCCTTCGTAGTATCTGATTAGCTCCTTGTTGCTAAGTGAGTCATGACGTCACTTTACCAGCAGCCAATCAGCTACTTCCATCAGTGTTTGTTGCTAAGTGATTCATGACGTCACTTAATCAGCACCCAATCAGCTACTCTCATCAGTGTTTGTTGCTAAGGGAATTATGAAGTCACTTAATCAGTAGCCAATCGGCTACTTCCATTTGTGTTGCTAAGGTCACCGAGAGTAGACTGAGGTCAGCCAATAGGAAGGGACGATGGTACGACGAAACTGCGTTAGTGCTGACCTGAAGAGACCAACAAAGATTTATGGCATTAGTACTGTATGTCTGTGTATAGCTGTGTCCTGTGTATAGCTGTGTCCTGTGTACAGCTGTGTCTTGTGTACAGCTTTGAGTATACCTGTTTCCTGAGTGTAGCTGTGTCCTGTGTATAGCTGTGTCCTGTGTATAGCTTTGAGTATACCTGTTTCCTGAGTGTAGCTGTGTCCTGTGTATAGCTGTGTCCTGTGTATAGCTTTGAGTATACCTGTTTCCTGAGTGTAGCTGTGTCCTGTGTATAGCTGTGTCCTGATGGAAGTGTAGAGTGGAGGTACGGAAAGTGAGGAAAAGCAGGTGGGCTGTGGAGGTGGGCGGGAGCAGGTGGAGAGAGACGAAGAGGGCGAAAAGGAGCGAAGGAGAAAAAGTAGAGGAGAAGAAGATGGCGACGAAGGAGAAGAAGGAGGAAAAGGAGAAGACGAAGAAGGAGGAGAAGAAGCAGGCGGCGAAGGAGAGGGAGGTTGACGGAGGTGGAAGGTGGAGGTGGTGGGTAAACTGGTGGGGGGGTGCTGTAGGGGGGTGAGGGGAAGGTATAAAAGCCGAGACTAGCGACACCCACCTTCACTCGTCAGCCAGTCGCCGTCGTGGCTACAACACCACCAGTCGGCTCTTCCCTCACGCCCTTTTTATAAGATCCCCTCCTCCATATCTTCTCCCAACAAGCTAATACATCCTCACTACCACCACCCCCCTCACTCCAAAGTATTGCTACCTTGTGACAGTGTGGATCATGCACTAGGACCATAATAATAAGTGCTTCTTTTTATTGATAATCTCCTAACGTCAAGAGAGTCTGCCTCTGGGACGTCGACAGCATGCAGATGTTAAGGTTTGTACACCAGCTTGTGATCACGACTTACCTGTTGTGTGTGTGCGTTTTTTGCTAATGAGTTAACTATCTATTACGTGTTGAAATCTCCCAAACTGTAATTACTCGGATTAGTATCTATTATGCATTGAAATCTCTCTCTCTCTCTCTCTAGTGGGATTACTGTGTGCCTGTGCTGTAATCTCCAAAAGTCTAGTCTTGGAGTGGTAGTTTGTGTAGGGGGATTAATTAACATCCATAATGTATTTAAAACCCACGGAGAGGATTAGTGTGGGATTATCTATGCCTCGTTTAAAATTAATTCCTCTCATTAAGAAATTGGACGAGATAATTTTTTTTCGGGTTATTGTATATTAATGCATTAAAATCTGTCCCTCGCCCTTACATAAAAATCTGTCCCTCGCCCTTACATAAAAATCTGATTTGTCATTTAACTTGGATGACTATCGTAAATGCATTGAAATCTGACAATAACAGGATTTAAGTCGAGATTACTTTCAGTGGTTTGTCGAGGTTAGAAAAAAAGAAGAAGAGGTTTTGTTCTTATCATCATAAAGGTCCCACAATAATTGGGTATTAAATTTGTGAGTCGTGGTGGGATTTTTGTGAGTCGTGAAGGATTTTTGTGAGTCAGGGAGGGATTTTTGTGAGTCGTTGATTTTTTTTTTCATAATAAATCAGTTTTGTTTTATGAGTTGACTATGTTACTCAAAATAGACAAGTTTTGGTCTGTAAGTCTACCTCCTCGCCTCAAAGTCCAGCAGATGAATGAGTGTGTGGGTGAGTGAGTGAGTGTATGGGTAAGTGTGTGGGTGAGTGAGTGAGTGTATGGGTAAGTGTGTGGGTGAGTGAGTGAGTGTATGGGTAAGTGTGTGGGTGAGTGTGTTAGAGATAAGAGAACGCCTTAAGCCATCGTCCTCAAAGGGTAAAGTAAAAATATGCCAGCGATTCTACAGCCATTCCCCTCGTTAAATAACTTCCATTATCTCTACGTTAAACAAGAGACAGCTTCCGTGTGTGTCTCTCACCTGTTAGAGTGAGAGATAATAGATCCTGGTATTTCTCTTTTAATGTGTCTCTTAACGCTATGAGAGTCTGTGTGGGTTGTAAGGGTTAACTATGTAATTAGCTTGTTAATGGGGGAGTACTGTAGTTTTAATATTATTGATGTGTTGGGTTTATGTGTGTTAAATTAGTGGGTATATATTTTTACAGAGTTTTGGTGAGATGAGAGACCATGATAAATGTAGGTAGAGAGAGAGAGATAGGAGGGAGGGGGTCATATAAAGTAGGGTATGAGGATGACTATGGTTACCAACACGAAGCAGCATCACAGCCTGGAGAATTATTACTGATTCAGCCTCATAAGCCACACAACACTCTTCACTATGACCACCTCCCCGCTCCTCTCTTCCCGCCCCTCTCTCCCCGCCCCTCTCCCGCCCTCTCTCCCGCTCCTCTCTCCTCTCCCGCTCCTCTCTCCCCCCTCTCATCCCCCGCCCCTTGCATAACTTACACTAAAAGAACAAAAATACTGAAACTTGTGGTATTTTAGGTCTAACGTGATGGTTTAATAATTGTCTTCTCACCGAGATGTGAAGAAGTTGTTTCACACACTAAATTATTTTTGGACTCGGGTGTAGGTAGTGACTACTCATCCGTGTACAGATTACCTCATATGGCTTTTAAATATCTGAAGAAACCGCACACACACACACACACACACACACACACACACACACACACACACACACACACACACACACACACACACACACATTCAACCGAGTCAACTCCCATCGTTAAAAAATACAAACCCAGGGCTCAAGTGTGTCCAGTGAGGGGTGTCTGTGGTATAGTTGAGGCCTTCACACCGTTACTACAGTATGGTGCAACGCCTCACTGGGTCTGGGGGCGAGAGTAAGCGGTGGTAACAAGACATTGCAACGTGTCGACCTCTGCTGGCTGGCTGGGGCGGCTGGTGGCGTGCTGCAGGGCGGTGCTTTAGGGTCCCTCGCTGTTTCATATTTTTGCAGCCTTGGTTTTGAGATGATTTTTTGGGGGTGTTTGGGAGCGTATTTCCAGAGAGAGCAAGAATGTGTGGTAGTATTGGTGGTGGTGGTACTGATGATGATGGTAATGGTAGTAGTTCTGATGATGATGGTACTGGTCGTTGGTGGAGGCACGGGGCCGGGGTCTGGTGATAGTGTGTGAGTGAGTGTTTGTGTGTGTGTCTCGGTGAGTGAAAGGACTCGCTTCTTGGTTTGGTTATTAAAGAAGAAGTAGAAGAAGAATGTTGTGCGTGGAGTGAATACTGATCAAGTCTCCTATGCCTTCTGTTCCGGTGGGATAACAGTAAAAGTGCTTCTCGTTAGGTCTCGTAGAATGACATAAAGGGAAGTAAAGGGAATTTATTACGACTAAATAGAGTTTTTTTACATAGAGGATTTATTATGTCAGTGTTGCCAGTTGTTTGGTCTCTGAGAATGACATAGAAGGTGGTATATAGATTTGTGGTTTTAAAGAGGGATTTTGTTTACGTGGTAGAGGATTATGTGTCAGTGTTGCCAGCGGGGATTACTTGGGTGGAATACAGATGGTTTATTACTTTTATTATTATTATTATTATTATTATTATTATTATTATTATTATTATTATTATTGTCGTTGTTGGAAAGTCAGGACACAGATTCAATGTGTTTGTTCTTGTATACACGCCCTGACCCACGCCTACACGCCCACATCCACATCAATCGCCCTCATCTCCACCCACACCCTCATCTCCACCCATACCCTCATTACACACCCTCGTCTGCACCCACAGCCACGCCCACGTCGTACTCCCAGACCCACACTCAAGGCCAAATGTACCTGTTGTATGACTGTACTACACGCCCACGCCGCGACAGTAACCACACCCTCACCACGTGTCCTGTCCTTACTGTGTGGCCTCCGCTCACGCTCATGCCACGTGTACCTGTTATAGGATCACACCACACGCTCGTATCTACACCCACGCCAACCCCCACACCCACACTCACTCCTATACCCACGCCAGCCCCCCACGCCCACACTCACTCACACTCACGCTGTCCTCACGCCCACATTCACCCTACACTACGCCAGCCCCCCACTCCACATCTACACAAACTGTCTACACCCAAGATAGATTAAGTTAGGATTAGGTTAAGTTTATGCTCGGGGTTAAGTTTGGTTATGGTTGGTTAGGTTTACGTTATATTTAATTGGGTTCATAACTGGCTGGGGTCCTGCTCCGGGTGTGTGTGTGACGGTGAATTGGCGTCTCCTTAACTTGTCGTCTCAACACACGAACATTTGTGGTGGCACAGTGGTCATAGCGTGTGGCTGGTGACTTGTGAGTTCCTTGGTTCGATACTCGACATATTGATTAATGGCTGGTTAATGCTGGATGGCGTAATGGTTAAATAAACATTGGTTAAAAAGAATAAAGATTAATTCCACAAGAGGTCACTGTACTTGACCTCCTTCCCTTCCGCAACCTTAAAGTTGGGTACCCATTCACAGCTGGGTCGACTTACGGCGCCCACGAAGTAAACTAACGAATTTTAAGGACAGGATGCCAGTGTTGTGTCCACTCGGCAACCACCTCCAATAACCTGTTAAGGATCAGTTAATAAATGAGGATAATGATTAGTTAAAAAGTAGTTAAGTTTAGCAGTTAAAGAGACACTAGGAATTGGCTAAAACTACAACTTAACGACTCCTTAACCACTGCTTAAACTTAGGGTAATGACAACAGTTCAGAAATGGTGGTTAACGGTGTATTGACTGTTGGTTAAGGTAACGGAGTAATAGTTGGACAGAATTAGAAGTTAATGACAAGTTTTACAGCTGGTTAATGGCCAGAAGTTAACGGCGCACTAACCACCAACTGAAACTGTCAACATAAACAAGACCACAACAACCACCACTTTGTTGTTACTAATACTTGGTCCACTCTCTCTCTCTCTCTCTCTCTCTCTCTCTCTCTCTCTCTCTCTCTCAGCAGCCAAACACTCTCTATAATCCTTCAATACATCGTTGTGTTTCTTCAGTAAGTACAGAAAGCAAAAAGACGACTTATTAATTGTTTACCTGGGAGCGCTACCTTAACAGTCCCTCAGTAGACGTGACAGGAAGAGTAATATGTTCATCTTGGCCTTTAAGCACTACAGCGAGATGCTTTGTCGGGTGGAACAAGAAAACAAGGCAATTTAACTGTTCCTCTTTACCTCCAAGCGCTTGTGTGTGTGTGTGCGTGCCATTACAACATCCCTGGTCATGTGTGGTGGTCGAGCTGTGGTCATCATCTTGTCTACGTGAAGTATGTACTGCCAGGCTGGGGAGATGAGTCTCGTATTTATAAGGTCTCGTTTCTGTGGTCGTCTGTGTCTCTTTGGGGTCGTCGTTGTGGTCGTCTGTGTTTTTTGGGGGGTCGTCGGAGGCTGTCGTTGGATCACCACTGCGTCTTGTGTTGAGGTGACCAGAGAGAGAGAGAGAGAGAGAGAGAGAGAGAGAGAGAGAGAGAGAGAGAGAGAGAGAGAGAGAGAGAGAGAGAGAACTTCCTACCATCAGCTCTGGAAAGCCTTCGTGGGAAACTATCATAAAACACTATTTGATTGTCGATGGTGTATTGAGGTGATTGGTGGTAGTCACCATGACGGATAGGGGATAGCGGGATGGTGATGCGTGAGAGAGAAAGTGTATAGAGGATGATGAATAGGAGGAAGAACAATAAATGAGAGAACTTGAATAATTGAGGGTAAACTGACGAGGGAGAAAAGTAGGAATGGAGAATAGATAAGCAGGTGGAGGTGGGTATTAGAGATGATATATGAAAGATAGGGGGAAAAGGATATAGTTAGGAGAGAGAGAGAGAGAGAGAGAGAGAGCACTAACGCAGCCCCATACGATAACTCACGCGAGGATGAGACGAGCGAAGAACTGAAGACGAAGAGTTTGCTGTTGATGTTGTTGAC